GAATGGAGCTTAACCAGTAGAGAGCTCTAAATAGCACAGTAAGTTGGATTGCCAGTTGATAGCATATTAAAGGTAGCATGTATTTTTTTTGCATACAATACCATTTTCTATATCTGTTTTATTATAATTTAGGGGACCAACCAATATCTATAATAATAAAAATATAAAAATAATCAAAATTTTAAACAGTCTCTGTTAATGAAAGTAACTTTAAGTAAATAATGTAGTATATCTTACGTAGGGAACATAGAAACACTAGTTGCGTGCTTGAATTTCTTTCATAGAATTATTTTTCTCCGTAAAACGTAACATTAGTATAACATGCCTGATACTGCTTCAGTTCTCCATAACACCTTTTCACCACAGAAAACTCATTAAGCCTCTCCACAGTGTAATTTAGAGGAGAATGACATTTGTGAATGTAATAAACTTGTGATGACACATGTTGTTGTTTAAACTGTGTTAAAGTAGTAACAGTAAGTTACTTATAGTACAACCAAAAACCAATGTTTATGAAGATGCAAAATAATATGTGAATTGTTCATGACAATGTTAAATGTATTACAAAGAAAACAACATTGCTAGCCATACTATGACGTGAGCCTAGCACTACCACTCTCTTTTTAACTAACCTCTGATGCCTATCAGTAGAGCTGGCTACGAGAAGTAAAAAATGACATTCAGTCTTCTGTAAAAGAACATTGATAAACCTCTAGAAACTTCAGTAATAATGCTAAGAAAGGAGAGCTACAACACTTGTTAATATGTCAAAGAAAGAAATTATCCAAAACTAAAATCATAAATAATATTCAACGTTAAACTGGTATACAAATCCTGAGGATGACGTTGTAACGTCGAAACATGTAGAGTTGTCAACTTTTTGAAGGCCATAAGTAGGCCTAAATAAAATTGTGTACCAGTGTAACATTGAATATTATTCATGATTTTAACTTTACACATAAGTGCCAAAATACTATAAGTATCAAAAACTAATTTAACTAAACTAACGATGTAATGAACCTTTATATAAGCACTATTAACTATATAATAAGAACATAGATTAATGGGAGATAAAAACTAATGGTAATCAGTTGGTTCACTGTCAGCCTAAACAATATCCAAAGGAATTAAAGTGTAGATGTGAAAGTGTTTTAAAGGTAAAACTCTGTAAAAATGTCTAAACCCAAAATCAGTAGCAAGAATATTATTGAATTCAAGGAATTTTGTTTTCAAAACATGCAACAAGAAATCTCATTTGTGAAAAATGAGTGAATTTATGAGCTCTGTTCACAAAATCTTGTACGTTTGAACAAATTCTATTGTATCTGGTAAGGTGTGAGTAGAAAGTATTGTAACATAACTTGATTGTATTTGGAAATAGAAAGTTTACAACTTAAAAAGTTGAAAATTTCCATTCTGTTAAAACTTTAATCTTGAATGTTAAGTTAATGATGCTGATATCTAAATCCAGATAATTGTGCTTTGTTTCTAGTGAAAGAGCTAATTTTCTAGAGTCAAATATGGTGTTACAATAAAATGTATAGTTGGCTTATTTTGTGACTACAAATTGCTTTAATATATTAGATCCATAAGCACACAGAATAAGAAGGTAGATATTTGTACTGATAGTTAAACAAGATTATGTAAAATACCTCGAGTAGATAGTGGCTTTATCTTGGTTGAAAACCAATATTAAAATGAATGATTTTTGTTAATCAATTCAACTCCTCATTTATTGTTTTCCCATTTTGGAGGTACAGAATGGGAGAAGATCCCTCTGTTCCTTGATTTGAGCACAGTTAATTCGATAATCACACAGTGACGTTCAAAGAAATCATGTCATCGAGCTGGCAATCCAGCTTACTGTAATATCTGGATCTTTGGTAAAGTATAAGAAACTTTTTCTCATTCAAGTATCCAATGGTTAAAGAAAGATGGCTGGTATCAGTCATAATTTGATTGCCAACAGTGAAATATTGATTGCTTGATGAATGGTATTTATATTACTGGTTATTTATGTCATACAAAGTCTAAACCGCATGCACATTTAAATATGTTTTGATAAGATATGTTTGTATGTTCATCTAATTTCATTATATTTAGAACTTACAAGCCAAGAGGAAGAAAGCACAGCATGGAAAGAAGATAAGACTCAGTAAAGGAAATCCTTTTAAAGGAATAAAGCAAAGAAAACCTCAGTTTTATTCTTGAAAAATTTCTAGAATAATAATAAAATTTTGATAATATTTTAATTGCCTAAAAATTTAACGTTTATGAGTAAGTGTTGTTATAACTGTTCAAAGATTTGTTCTTAAAGATTTCTGCATTAGGTGATAAGACCCAACCAAACATGACAAAAAATCTAGAGAAGAAAAAGAATCTTATAGAAACTGCAGTAATTCAATGATTTTTATTGCATTGATTGTATAAGGAGTACGATAACATTTATGGTGATATTTCTGCTTCTGTCTAGAACGGTAGTTTTCTAACTGTACGAAGCCATCGAACCCTCTTATTTCATTCCTTCCATCACAGAAATCCAAACCTTAACTCACCTTTAAAGCCTTGTTAGAAGTCATGCCTTCTTCCTCTTGTATCATACTTACATGAACATAGGCAAATTTATAGATGTATGAATATTTCTTATTTTGTTTGCTTGTGTATGTAACTGTGTGGAGAAGACTGAATATCAAATGACTCGTGATTTAAAAAAAAAGTCTGTGATGGGTTAACATTCAAAAGTTAAAAAAAAAAACTGCCATTACCTGTTGTCTTTGTGGGGAATTCCTGATGACATTTCATGGAACCATGGAGTTCTGTGGAACACAATTTGAAAACTACTGGACTAGAAGAAATTATTCAAATGATATCATTCATTACAGACTGTAAATTTTTTATGAAACTTGTAGTCCATCATTCACAGAGCACTTTATTACCCCATTTTGAAAATGAAATAAAAAAAATAATCTTGGAGAATTATGTAATAGTTACATAACAGAGTATTAAAAACTGTTTTATGAGCATGATAAATTTTATGGAAATGTTTTTCTCTTTTCCTGTTCAGTATATTCCAATCTATACAGAGTAGAGGTTGTAGTTTATAAATTTTAATATTTTTTAAAGTATTTTAGTAAACTGCACATCTTACCAAATTTTTTTAAGTCTGAAACTAGAATTTCTGAGAGAGTATCAGAAGTTTGTCATAAATCAGTTTTTGTGACGCTTAATTTTCAAAGGAATTGTTTGCGTAAATAATCTTTTTATGCCACTCAGTCAATAAAATATCTGTACAACTTTGAAATAATGAATAAAATGATTGGTTTTAAATCTTTCTTTTCAACCAAACTTAGCTGTATGGTTGATATTTGTAGAAGAGTAGTTTCTACCATTTTGTAAAATCTTTATTACTTTCGGGTTAACCTTTGATTTTAAGTTTCAAAAATATCGTTTTTGGAAGTAGTATTTTTATTTGTTTCTTGGTATTCACGTTTATTATCTTTCACATCCGAACTTTTCAGAACCAATTGTAATTTTTCTACCACTAAAGTTGATAATTATTATAAAATTACATTTTTTATTGAAGAGATTCTGAATTTGTGTGGTTATTTAGTAACACTTCATAGATGTAAGCATCTGATGACCAGTAAAATACAATTGTTCACAAGTGAATAATTGTAGTAATATATAACATAAACAGGATATTGACCAGAAACAGTTTTTATTAGCAGTGAAGATCTTCAGGCAACTGTTCATCGTTAAAGAAAGATGTTTATCTAAACTAAAGTGACCAGATATATTTCATCAAAATACATGTATCTAAGACAATAAGGGATAATGTAAAAATTATAAAAATGAACTTTCAGTTAGAATAATACTATGTAGCAGAGCTTGAGCTTAATAATATATATAGCGTTGTTGTAATGATACATTTAATTCTTTAATAATGTTTTAATTAGTAAAATAATTGTAAGGGATATAATGATCCTTTTTTTATATTAATGGTATAGAATAATTATTACTTATTTTAGAGTTTCATAAAATAACAAATAATCTTCATACTTGCTTGTTTTTCCTTTGGAAAATGGGGTGGTCCTGACCCATGAACACTACTCACCTATTCACCGTTTGTATATTTCACATTTTAGAAGTAGCAGTTTTTTTTAAAATGTGCCCTTTCTCAATATTTGTTGTTGTTTTTTTTTACCAAAAAATAACGGACTTCGTTTTGAGATGGTGGTTCGAAACCTAGGAGAAATTATTTACGTTATTTTTATATTTTGTTACTACTATATATTATTAGGAAAAGTATTGATGCTGTCTTCTTGAATAAGTTGTGATACTGAAGAAAAAATATGAATGCAATATGCTAGGTTGTAGTTTATTTGAAGATTAGGCGATATATAATCTGCATCAGTGTTCTTTTTTGATAAATGTGTTTAGCCATAATATTTACATAATATCCTATGTAACTACAGTGAAATTGTTTTAACAGTTAAGTTTAACATATAAAGAAGGAAACCACATTTGAAATTAATCACGTAATTAAGTTATCCCAAGGCGAAGCCAATAAAACCCTCCTTAAAATGATCATTCGATTACTTCAAAAAGTAATTCTCAATTAAATTACTTTGAAATTAATATCTAATAATATCCCTTATTTTTTAAGCTTGATTAAACGTGTAGATATTTTTCTTTTATCATGTATATATAAACATTTATAAGCAAGACAAAAACAGGTCACATTGAGGTTGTTGCCTTCTAATGGGCATCGTGTTTCAGCATCTATAATTATTTGTTTTCAGCTAAAAATAACGCAGTCCAATAACGTCAGATTTAATTACGTCCGTCTTCTTTAGGTCATACTTAATAGACTCTCGTGGTTTTTCCCAGACTATTCTGGCTCCCAACTCTGATCGGGCACTTGTGGCGCTACTGTTGAATGAATCTTTCTGGAAGAGTAGAAATATATCTTGGATAGAAAGTTTAAAGACAGGGTTATTGATAATGAAAAATAGTTTTATATTAAAAAATAAAAACGAGCAAGCTAGAATAACTTTCCCTTACTTAAATTGAAATAGTAGATGTTATAAAATGTTTAGGCTTATGAGCTGATAAAAATTTAAGCTGGAAACAGCGTATTAAGGATTTGGCACAAAAACCGAGATTTAATGTTCACTAAAATTTATTATTTGAAAAATTGTTAATCGTGAAGATGGTAATAATTCTTTATTTTCCATTAATGCAATCAGTAATTCAGTATGGAATTTTGATGTTGAGAGGAACTTATCCACCTACATTAAAGCTGGTTGTTTCATTACGGCATGGCAAGGTGGTTAGGGCGCTCGACTCGCAATCTACGAGTCGCGGGTTCTAATCCCCGTCACACCAAACATCTCGCTCTTTCAGCCGTTGGTAAAAGATTAGCCCAAGAGTTGGCTGTGGGTGGTGATGACTAGCTGCCTTTCCTCTAGTCTTCCACTGCTAAATTAGGGACAGATAGCCCTCGTGTAGCTTTGCGCGAAATTCAAAAACAAACATTACAACAATATCAAGAAATGCTTAAACGATGTTTGAGAACATAAACTCATCAGAATACACTTCATCAAGATCAAAACTTCTTGATATTGGATAAAACTAAACTAAGATTGGCTGACAAACTAACAGTATGCACACGGTCTCTGGAAATTACATTAACAAATCTCTTAATACATCTAACAGTTTTGCTGGCATAATTTTCGGACATCTTATATTGCTTAATACAGATAATACATATTTGTGCCACTAGGGGGCAGATAATACCCGAAGAAGAAATTCGATGACGAGGAACCCACTTTGAGACTAATAATGGCTGGAGACGGCTTGAATGGGTAATGAAGAAAAACTTTAATATAAGTTTAACATAAGACCGAACAATGTTCCTCTATCAATAAAACTCTTCCTTGCGCTTATAAATCATTGTTTGTCTACCTATTATTTTAGATTAGTTTAATGCGTTTACAGGAACGTCGAGAGCTAGCACGGGCCCCTTTCTCTCTCTCTTTTTTAACATTTTCAAGAATTTATTTAAAAAAGATCCAAAATTAGGACAGCAATGAGCTCATAAACCAGACA